AGTGGCAGACCTTGGGGTGGCATATCCCCCTTCACTGCTGATGTCCTGGTAGCATGAGGCACAGAGGGGAACACGTTAAACTGTGTGGAAGCACAAGACAGGAGGGTTCTGGTGTGATAGTTTTTTGGGTTTTTTTTTTCTTTTATCTTTTAACCTGACATAGACTGTTTTTATTTCTTAAATCACAATGCTCATTTTGGAAAGTTATGCAAACACCAAAAGTCATAAATAAGGAAATAGAAATTGCCTATAATCCAGAGATAACCACTGTAAATCTTTTGGTTATTTAAAATAGAATTCTTTAAAAAAAAGAATATTAATAAAAGACTAATCAAAAAACAAAGTAAAATAAAATAGAATTCTTCGCCATGCTGGTTTCCATCACTATCCTCTCACCATCAAGGTCTTTTCCTTCATAAACTCATTATCATATTTATTTACTACTTTGTTTTCTATCTTCTTTACCATGTTTGGCCCCCACTGTTGCAGCCCCAGGCCCTGGCGTCACCGGAGGTGCTCAGTGAGTGTTTGTTGAATAAATGAGTCCCTCTATATGGAACAGGGCTGAGATCACCCTTTAAGTACAGTTTTAGATTTTTCTTCATTTAGCATTATATTTCATCATGCCACTGACTAGTTTAAAACCTTTCAGTGAAATCTCGTTACTAGAACAAAGCCTAAAATCCTTACTACACACCCAAAGCTGTTAGTCTTTGGAAAGACACACACTCCCCATTTTTGGAGCTGTAGCATCTGGAACCCTCAGTGTCCACCAGAGCCCAGCTCTAGGCTTCTCCCCCTATATTTTTTTTAAATCCCTTCCAGACATGCTGGTATCCTTTTAACTTCCACCAACACACTATACCCTCTCTAGTCTCAGGGCACATTAGTTTTCTAGTGCTACTGTAGTAAAATTCCACTGAGTGGCTTAGCAACAGAAATGCATGTTCTCACCATTCTGGAGGCGAGATGTCCGAGACTAGGATGTAAGCAGGGTCCATTCCTTTGGAGGCCTCTCTGTCGGGCTCATGGACGGCCACCTGCTTCACGCCGTCAGTGGTCTTTCCTCGTGCGTGTCTGTGTCCCAGTCTCCTTATCGTATAAGGACACCAGTCACGCTGGATTAGAGCCCACCTTAGTTACTTAATTTAACCTCAATTAGCTCTTTAAAGACTCTGTCTCCTCATAGAGTCCGACTCTCAGGAGGTCAAGATTAGAACGTCAGCATTTAGGGGGACACAGTCAGCTCGTAACACAAAGCCTTGAACTAGTTCCTTCTGTCTCATCTCATCTTACTTGAGATCTCAGTTTAAATTTCACTTTTCAGACAAATTTCCCCTGACCGCCACCAGGCAGGTCCCCACGTTCTGTGCTCCCACCGTGTCCGCCTGGGCCCCTTTTAAAGCCCTCATCACGTCTGTCTTCTGTGTCTGCCTGTCAGCTCCACGAGAACGAGACCTGGGACTGTGCTGAACATCACTGTATCCCCAGAGCTTATTTCAGTGCCTGGCAAATAGGAAGGGCAGTAAGCCTTTGCTCAATGAATCTGAACTGAAGAGCACACTGTTAGATATTAAATACTTTTTATAAACATCATTATAATGAGTATACTTTTAAAAATTGATGTGCCATACTGTTCTTACTCATTACCCCACAGACCTCTAGATTGTAACTTTTACTCTTATTGACAATGTCAGGGTGGAAATCCACGCCTGTCCCTCTATTTCTTCAGGTTCCTAGTGACTGAGTGAAAAGTAAATAGACCATTTGAAGGCTTTAATATACACTGCTGGGTTGATTTCTGGTTGAACCAACTTGTTCCAGCAGTAAAAATAAAAATAAACACAAACTGATGAAATGTATAAGGAGAGCTTGCTACCTAAAATTTTGGCGAACGTTTTCTTGCCAATTTCTCGGAAAGGAAAAGGGTGTAAGTCGGTGCCCTGTGGGTTTGGGGGAGCCCTAGATCTTGACGGAGGCATTCTTGTGTATGTATGGCCTCCGTTATTTGTTGTTACAGCCCCAGCGATGGAGATAATTTGTTGCTCCCTCCAAGGTGAGAGTGCACACACGGGAGGGAGGATGAAGGGGGGAGGTGTGGGAATTCCTTCACCTTCGTGGTCGAGTCTAGCTGCCTGATTCTTCCATTTTTCAGTCCATCCTTGTTCAAATCTGGGGGTTCCCGCTCTCCAGTATCAGAGTGGGAAAAAAAGTGGACGATGGTTCTAGAAGATGCGCAGGGAAATTTCTATCAAAATAAATGCAAACACAAGTCATGTGGATTCAGTAGTGGAGGTTGAGGTCATTCTCATCAGTGTCTCTTTTCTCAGTAAAATATGTGGTGAAGCTCATGGAGTCCTCCTGCGAGTGTCAAGGGAGGAGTATCGGCTATTTGGAAAGAAAGACGGTGCGACACTGTTGTCTCAGAGTGGGAAATAAAAACCAGCGAGACAAATGTGTTTGGATTTGGGGAAGGTATTGAATCTCATGTAAGATTTGTGTTCATGATTTAAAGCGAGGCCCGTCAGCGCTGGGGATGTGATCTCATCCAGTTCCAACAGCGACTTAAGTTTAGGTGCAGAATCAGTGGGTAGTTGGGTTTAATAAGATTTAAAGTTTTGCCAAGTTGGTTCGACAGAGGGAGAGGCACTTAATGTTGGGTAAATTGGGATGTGAGGCCACGGGGAGGGGTGATGGATTCTGAGAAGCTAGAGGCATCGACGCATTGGAGGTCCCGAAGGGTGAGCCAAGCGCGTGGACGAGGCTGAGCTAAAAGAGTAGGAAGCAATGCTTGGAGACTGCGGTCAGGGGGCTTTAAAAATGTTTACGTATTTTATTAAATATTACTAATACAGTAAGACAGCTGGGGCTGGAAGTCAGGCGGCTTCATTCCCAGGTAAGACGGGAGCGTGGCTTCGCCCTTCTAGAGGCAGCAGCTCTCCGGGGCTGCCTGGAGGGCTTCCTCTCCTCCGCAAATGCAGGGAGCTGAATGGGCGAGTGGGAGAAGGGGGCTGAGGATGAGCGAGCTTGCGGTGTTGGTCAGACTGCTTCTTGACCCTAAGGTCAGTGGCTTTTCCTAGACATTTGGAAGATAGTCGGGTTCCTTTGTAAGATGTGCCTCCAGTCGCTGCAAAGCTGCAGCACCAGGGTGGTGGTGGTGGTGGTGGCTTGTGGGAGGGTGGCAGCCAGTCCCTGGGGATTAAGCCCTCTGTCTTCAACTAGTCTACTCAGGGACTTCGGTTCTCTCCTGAGGAAGGTTTTCACCCTTTTCACTAAGAAACTCCATTCTACGACCACATGAAAAGCATTTGTTCACCGTTACCTGCTGCTGCTGTTCCTTAGACAGTGCCACCCCTTAGACAGCTGAGACTGAGGTGGGAAGCCCCATGACAAAGATGGCAGGACCCCCAGGCAGGGCCACTGCCCTCCTGCCAGCACCATCTGGTTCCCTGGCCTGGTGGCATTCTCTCGCTTTTTGCCTCTGAAATGGCTTACTTCTAGGAGAGTGGAACTTACCCCTAAGACTCTATTGGTTCCCTGAGCTCACTCCTGATTGGCCCATTTCTATCACTCCTGTATCGGACTATTTCTACAAAGCTCATTTCTAATTAGTCAACTTTTGTTACACCTTATTTGCATGTGATGTTGCAAAGTGTAGACTGGAAGCCTACAAAAGCCTGTGTAAACCTACAGATGGGGTTCAGAGCTTGGGAAGTTAACTCCTCTGGGCCTGCCGACGTGATAAACCTGAGTTCTCCTACCCTCCAAGTGCCGCTTGGTCTCTCGCCCAGATCCAGGTTGCAGTCACAACTGAGCTGTAACACACTTTGCTGCAACAATTGAAAGGTAGAAACATGCTCTGACACGCCATAGGACTTCTAAACTTAAGTGTTTTGCCCACCGTCATCTGGAATGACAAGCATATTCTTTTATGGATTGAGAATCCCCAGTTTTCCATCAGTGGCCTCCCACAGACTACTTCACTGAAGAGGGGAGATGGAAACCGCAGACCTGCAGGCTTATCAGGGTGAGCCGAGAGCGAGGCTTCGAGAAATACAACCTTCCTCGCTGGCAGATGCTGGCACTCGCTAGTCGCACCATTATGTTACGTGGCTTCTTAGTAGACGGACGGCTTAAAATTTGCTTTACCCAGAAAAGCCAAGCAAAGCAACTTCCCTTTTGAAATCTTCCGAGATACTATTGGTTCCTTTAACTCTTCCTCAAATAGCAGTGCATTGTCCTAGAGGAGTGGAGGCATGCTGACTGGGATTAATTCTCACAGAATCTGAGAATGGGTGCTACTGTTTGTAAACTTTAATCCTAGGTAGGGAGGAAGCAGTCAGGTGGAAAGGCAGTGGCTGAGCAAACTGAGACGAGACTGAAATGGGGGTGTGAGGAGGACTGAGAAAGGCAGAGGGTGGCACACTGGGAGCAGCCTGGGCTCTGGAAGTAAGCCAGCGCTCCCCGCCCATTGCCCAGGCCCCCCGTGTGGGACTTTGGGTAAGATGCTTAGAACGTGTTCAATTCTCAGTTAGCTCCTCTTTAAAGAAAGCAATTATCAATACATAATAGTGATTATTAGTAGATCTTTCAAGATATGTGTTCAGAAGCCCTGGAACAGTACAGATGGAAAGCTTAGTATCACAGTATTTGAAAGTAGCTGCTCAAGGAAATGGCCTCACTGGAATTAACAGGAGAGGTTAGTGTTACTTTTCATGACAATATTAAAAGGATAACTGATTTTATTAAATATCAGTAGACTTGAAACATAAACATGTTACCAACATGGACACTGTGAATCACTAACTCTAACTCCACTCTGAGAGTCTGGCACTAGCTGAGTTATGGACCTGTTCAGTGTATGTGTGTTTCTATACCCTAAGCTGTCCCCCAGATTTACTCCCCTGGGGTAAAATAAAAATTAAAGGGAACGCAGAGTAGTGAAAAAAATTTTAAAGATACGCAAAGTGATGCTAAAAATTAAAATTAAGATGAGACCAGAATATTTACATATTTTATTAAATCTTTACAATCAGTAATTATAATCAAATACACAATTATATACAAGGATTATATACATTTTGCCCAGACTTTTACATCACAGTACATAGTTTCCCTTAGAAATATTGTACACGTTTATCACCAAACAATAAAATCCAACAACAGTAGTGTTACAGCACCTGTTAGTACAGACATCTTTTTCATAAATTACATCATAAGAAAATATACGGCTGTAAATTGGGCTTTTAAAAATGTCTTTTATAAAATCTGAACATACAATATTTCATTCACAGAATGTTTTTTTTTTCTATGTTCTGACTGAAGCCTTGTGCATAAAACGACCGGTTGTAATGTTTACTAAATGCACTCCCCTCTCTAAAATTATAAGCGCTATTTGAATTACCTGTGCTGAGCTTTCTTTATGATGAATTTGGCATGGGGTTTGGTAAGGGAACAAATGCTGGTTTTACTATAAAAAGGGCTGTGTGATGGTAATTTAAATTAAAAAAAATCTTGAGAGAGTAATTAGGTTAAAATCAGAGAGTGCACAATTATTCATTTTACCCTCCAATACGGTGGGGAAAAAAAAAAGAAAAGAAAAAGTATCATGTCAAAAAATTTGTTCTGAAACAACACTTGTATTCCTACTGGAAGCCTATTCAAAGTTACAAGGAAAAAAGGAAACCAACCCAACCAAATATCCCACCCCAAACATACCTGGTAAATTGCAGTTCTCTCACGCCTAAAGCTTCATGGGAAAAGTACTGAAAATTAGGGCATATTGTTTCAATGGACTTTCCTAAGCAGAAAAAAACTATAGCTATTTTTAGTAGGTAAACAAGTTAAGTTTTAAAACTTGAAAATACCTGAATAAAATACCTTCTCCAATATCTAACTTTTAACTTTCAGATAAAACCCTTACTTGATTCCAGGTTTGTAAACATTGTATAAATCCTTCTTAGTCAAGCAATGTTATGGCTGTGGTGATCACGTCAGCTCTTCTCTCTATGCAGGCAACGTTAACTGAGGTAGACCAGATGTTTCTAAAATTCAGGGTCACATACAACACGCTGAATTTTTAGGAAGTAAATAACATGCTATAAAAGGTATTTAAAAAACAAAACATTTTAAGAAAAGCCTAATGTTGTTGAAAGTTTTTAATGAACTTGAAAACAACTTCGTGGCAGTATGTCAATTAAGAATGGAGAGTCAATGACAACGTTGGAGTTTTGAAGCTGAACCTTATGCTTTCTTTCCTTAGCTAGGGAAAAATCAAGTATAATTCCTTCTGGGTGTTCAGTGTAACTTATTAAGTTTTCTTTTTTTTTAGGGATTCATTTTTTTCCCTAAACAAGTGAACAATTTGCTTCTAGACCTCAATGAATGGCAACAGCTCCCCCTAATGGCCAAAGGAAGGAAGAGTGGCAGTGGGCTGGCTTTTAGCTTGTATGCCACAAGGTCTCTGCTGGAAAGAAAACTCCACTGTTTTGATAACTTAGAAAAGTTGGGTTTAGACGACAGTGGCTCTGAGCTACAAACACAAAATCAAATTAATGTGTATAAGGCTTCTGTAATCCAAGTCTTACAGGGACACCTACCCCTGTTCTCCAAGCCCCAGTCCTATAATTCAAGGCAAGTCAAGTAATTAAGCTTCAGCTATTTTGGCAGCTTTGCAATTAAGATGAACGAAGCACTATGTCTATCCTTCTGTATACTTTATGTATTCTAGTTCTACCTTCTTATACCAAACTTCACATGCAGAGAGACTAAAAATACCCATTTTAGTGTCGGGTTTAATTAAGGGCCAATAAAGGTCTCATATACTACCCGCCCCCCCGCCCCCAAGTGAATTCTCTGTGAGGTTTATCACTCATCGACCCAATTACGTTTAGCTGGGATTTTTGAAAGCAGCTATTTACCCCCTTATTAAAGAATATGTTTACCTGGGATCTATGACATACTGTACATGAATATACATAACTACAATACGGCACTGCTGCTCTTTGAACAGTTCCATATACAGTTTAAGTTCACCAGTACCGCAAAAACTGTGTTTTAAGAAAAGGTAATTGTATAATGTCATGGAAAAGAAAAAGGAAACTAAGTCTCAAATATTCCTTTAGAACTGATTCAGGTAAGCTTAAAAAAAATAAATAAAATGAGTAAAGCCATGATTTCAACTACAGGGCTGTCTACAGGTATCGGTAAAAAAGGTTTTTAAACTTAAACGTGGCCAGCAGCAGACTGCCACCGAGAAGAAAGAGGGGTGTTAATTCTCATTAAGCTGTGGCTACACGTTAGCTGCTGCTGTGCTCTCTACACAGGTCACCAGAGACTAGTTTTCAAGTCCATATCAGAAGGATTTTTTTTTTTAAAGCAAACTTAAAAACCGTGATTCAACAGAAAACGTGACAGACTCCTTAGGTACAACTTTTAGAAACCATAGTTTCAAAGGAGGAAAAATAGTAGTTACCCCAGCATTTTCAGATCACTACCACAGTTTTATCATGGCTCCCTAGGACAGGAAAATGGAACAAAACGTCTTCAGCTATTGGCAACACAGGCCTTGTGGCTCAAAATGCATACTAAACATGGGATGGAGTAAGGCTGATGGCTGGAGGCAGTCACCTCCAAAGAAATGAACTGGAAAAGACTTCTGATTTGCCCTAGCAGGATACATAACCTCAAGTTCCGTTTCAGAGTAGTCACAGCTTTCCCTGTGGAAGGCCCAATGGCAAGTTCATATTGCAACATTATAGTTTCTCCCTTGCTCCATTTTTCAAAAGTATTAAGTAACCAATTTCCACAATATGTTATATGACCTTTTTACCTCGTCCCAATGATTAGTCTTTATGCAGAGAACTCACTGAGAAAGTACAATGGCTTTGCCTTTGGTTTAAAGGAAAAGGACATGGTTAAGAGGGGAAAAATCAAGTCATCTCGATCGTGTGACATAATGAGGCAACTGACAGTGACGAGCAAAGGCCGTCTGCCCCGTGAATGCATTTGCTTCATACCCTCTTAGGTCGCTTTGTTTTTGTGAAGGCAGCATAACCCGAATGCCCACAATACTCATACATGTCTTCCCCAAAGAGCCTCTGACCCCCGAAGCAAGAAAGCCGAGCTTCCTTTACGAAGATCTACAAATTCGTATTCCCTATCTCAGAGTTAAGGGAATTTCTTACCTATCCAGAGACGGCAGGAATCTGGCTCCTAGGAATGCCTGCTAATCTCACCCTGGCCTGAGGTGCTGCAGGGTGGTCTGGTGCTGTCACCTGAGGCGGGGGGCCTGTGAGTTTCCATTTTTGATGGGACAGTTTTAAACAAGGTCAGTTCTAACACAGCATGCTCCAGATCCCTATGGCAACTAGCTCTCCCGGTCAGAACGAGGTTGCTCGTCACTGCACTTAGAGCCTCCCATGAGAGAGCCTGCTTCGCCTCAGGGTGTCTGTTAACCACAGTTTACCTTTTCTTTCTAAATACCTACCACCAGGGAGACTCTGGTGAGTCAGAGCTCATCCTTCTCCATCATTTCAAATGCTTCTATATCTTCGTTCCAGTCTGCTAATATGGCGTCTATAGGCTGGCCCTTTTTACCCCAGCTAACGTTAGGACTGGCATCCTCCTCAGTTTCTGATTGCTCTTGAAGCTGGTTATCTAGATCTGTACATTCGCCATCAAGACTTGTAGTCTCATGGTTTTCTGCGGGATTAGAATTCTGTTCAGAAGGAGAAACGCTTGCAGCAATGTCCGTGTCTGCTGGAGATGATGATTCTGGGTGAGAGTTTGGAGAACTTTCTTCAGGAGACTCCTGGTCAACCAAACCAACCTCCTGAGAACTTGACACGATCTGTTCAGCACTCTGATTCTGAGAGTCATTTTCAGAGGATGGTGGTTCTTCAGTTTCCAAGTCAGGATCTGTAGGTGAAAGAAACAAACTTCATGCTACTTTCCCCCTCAAAACATGAACTATCAGACTTGCAAAAGCACACTGATTTTTGCAATAAAATGAAAAAATTAAAGTTAAAGAAAATCATGTTAATGCGGAATGGTGAACATTAACATCGAAGGGTAAAGGACTGCCTTGTAATAAAGCAATCACATTCATTTTGTACATTCATTTTGCAAAATGTAACATTTGAAAATAAATGTTCTTTGAAACTGAAAGGAATGACTCTAATAACTGACAAGACTGCCTTCACTGGGTATTAGTAAATGCCAAGAAATATACTAAACAATAATACTGTTAAAATTCATGTACCTTTGCACTGGATGTCTAAAATTTATGAAATACCCAAATTCAAAAAAACCTGCACATCAGAACATATGAAACAGAATCAGTTTTAAACAGCACATACCATTGCTGTATTTTAAAATAATATTCCTTTGAAAAGTGAAATTCCCACTCAGCAAGCCATGAAATGGGGATAATGCAAAATGTTGAATTTAATGATACTAATGTGGTTGATTGAATAAAAGTTTCATAAACACAAGAACTGAGATTATTTACAAAACATCTATTCCATTACTGGAGGTCTATGAATTGTAAGATATAATCATAAAGCCCACTGGAAGGCTGAAGAGCAGGTTAAATCTTTTGTAATGAACATACAATAAAACCACCAGAGGCATTTTTAGGGTTCCTACAGGAAGTACTTCAACAGCACTGACGCTCACATGCTGCATCCTCCTCAGACTCTGTAGTCGGTCAGCTGGCAAAGATCTTACGCGTGTCCACTGTGTGGCACTGCCTTTCTGGAGCCTTCCGTCCAGCTGGGGAAAGTGACGTTTACGAATAATCACACAAATAAACAGAAAACTCTGTGACATGTGTTACGGTGTTAGGAAAGAATAAGATTTGAGGATTTCCTTCAGAAAGTGACACCTGGTCTGAGATTTTAAAAATAATCAGAGTTAACTAGTAAAGAAGGAAGGGAAAATGGACCTATTATAAAAGCAGAAAAACAGAAGGAAATCCAAGTGTGGGGGACAGCAGAGGAGGGGGTGTACGTACACCCCGACCAGGGAGGGTCACCTGACTAGGGGCGTTTAAGCAAGTTCTTTGGGAGGGGTGCTGGTGGGGAAGGGGGCACAGGGAGAAGCTCCCACACATTCTCTCGGCTGTGGAAAAGGTACACTTAAACTTGACAATTAGGGAAACCATGATGGAGCCCAAAGAAGTGTCTGCCTGCTTCAAGCTCACTCATGCGCAGCTACCCTAAGTTGAGGGAGAGTGAAAAGAAAAACCGTCAGATTAAACTGATCGTATTAATCTAGGTAGAAGGAGAGGAAAAGGTGTAGGGCTGTTTCATCTAGTAATAAAGATCGCGCTGTTGGCAAAACGTGACCCTAGGGTTACATATCGTGTCCTGCTACTTTGGACGTGTAGCTAGTAAAGCAGCGTAAGGAAGCAGAGCAGCCCGTGTACACGCAGCGGGAGGAAACAGCGAGCCGTCTGCACTTTCAGATTCTGCTGCACATTTACACTCAGAGCAACTCAACTTTTAAAGACACTATTAAGACAGTAAAAGAATTTGATAAGGAGGGTAAAAATACGGTAAACAGGCAAATACCACTAGCCCCTCTATAGCAGCCGTAACTGGTTAGAAATAAATTAAGTACCCTTTTCACAATAAAAATAAAAGCTACAAAACAAAGAATTACATTTATTTTGGAAAGTACAAGGCCCATCTTGCTTAATACTATAAAATCTCTATGAAAACATAAAACAAGATCTGATTAAACTCATAGGTAAGTGGATGTTCCTGGATGGAAAGTCTTAATATTTAACAAAATCTTCCTATTTATATGTGAAGTATGCAATTACACAATTTCAAAATGAATCCCATTTCTACGTCTTTTTGTTTTCTTTTGGGACCGAACAGAATCATTTTAAACTTTCTACGGAAGGATATACATCACAGAGAAGTCAAGTTAGTGAGAGGAGAGCTGCCTTATCAGATATTAAAATTTATTCAAAACAGAAAACGGTTTTATTATTGGCACGTAGATTAGCGGAAAAGAAGAACAAGCCCCAAACAGATCAAAATATATAAGACTATTTGATATTCTGCAAAGTGGAACAATCAGCAAAGTAAAAACGGCAGCTGGAGGAGTCAAAAAAAATAAAAAGAGGTCCCACCACATGGCTACAAATCTGCACCCTGAGGTGCCCGCTGTCACCGTCCCCAGAGAGCAGGAGCGCAGCCCCAAGAGTGCAATGACTGCATCACTAAAGTCAGTCATGGTCTATCAGAAACACAGGAAGCAAAGGCAGAACGAAGAAAATCTCAAGATACAAAGAGAACTACGGAGTTTTAATCATAAGAGGACAAGGGCACCTGGGCAAAGACTTCGAGTGGATGGTCCACAACCATTCATTCATCTCTATGGCCAGCATTTATGGACAGCAAGGAATACAGAGGTGAGAAACAGGGAAAGAAGTGTGATGTCATCTAAATGTCACAGTACAACCATATTAAAAAGATGTTCTTAAATATGAAAATGAATATGTGTATGTTCATGTATGACTGAAGCATTGTGCCATACACCAGAAATTGACACAACATTGTAAACTGACTATACTTCAATTAAAAAAAAAAGATGTTCTTAAATTATACCTCGGAGAATAAGAGAAAATTTCATAAAGAAGGTAACATTTAACCTGGGTATTTAGGATGGCTAAATGTCCGTGAAGAGGAAAAGGCCATGGGAGCGGGGCAGGGGTTGACAAGGCATTTCTAGAAAGAGGGGAGAGGTGAGCAAATGCAAAGGTGGAAGAGAAGACACGTCGGGGTCGGGGGAGGAGAGAGGCCAGCGGCTCAACTATCGACTCTGCTAACAAGAATGTTTCAGACGCCCCTTTCCAGGCAGAGGCCATCTGCTTATATACTTCATTTTTCTCCTCAGACTCAAATCCTGCCAGAGAGCAATCTACATTCTACAGATCAACTGTAGGACAGATTCACCCCAGCCAAGTTCAGTGGGCGGTAGTCTTAGGAAAAGTGACACTGCCAGACTTGAGCAGTTCCAACCATGGGACCGTTCTTTTCTTCCCCCTATTTCCTCGGTCTGCCCTTTACCAGAGAGACACGAGCACAGGAGAAGCCCTGAAAACCCCTGTCCACAGCTGCTGCAGCACTGAGCCGACACTGTGAGTACAAGCGTGACAATGCACTGAAACCTTAAAATGCTGATTTCTCTTCCCCCTTGAGAAATACAATTGAGAAAAGGCAACTGAATCTTAATTGCAAACTGCTTCAACTTGGAGCTAAAGGTAACAACGCGGTGTCTTTCGTGTGTGGGCACAGGGTGGGCATTACGTACCTTTACAAACTCTTAAAATTCCAAGACAGGACACAGAGGGACATGACATCAACACTTGTGTGCATGACGTAACTCCCAGAAGCGCGGCTGCTTTGCCCCCAGAGGCACCTTTCCCACCCGGTGAACTACCAACGCCTTCCTGAGGAAGGACGACGTGCAGTAAGGCATCCGGACACGGCTGCCGGCAGGCAGCGCTGCCGCAGGCATTTCTACATCAGTGGCTGGGACTTTTTGTCAGAATTAGAAGGTGAGAGTGGGAGTAGGGGCTTTGTTCTGGGGCTTCTATTTTCTGTCTTAGCACGTGGGAAGACTCGCTCAGTCACAACGGTGGGACTGTGTGAGGGAAGGTGTATTTGCACAGCGAGCTGTTTGGAAGGGCACTCTGGAGGACACTGCACCCGTCAGACCTGAAGGACGCTGCTGTCTGGTGTGCTTACACACTCCTACCTAGTGCCTCGGCACAGGATGGCCAGGTACAGAGCTGGCAGATAGGAAGGAAAAAAGGGGGTGCTTCTCAGTCTTGTTCAGTGCTTCTCAAAGGGTAGCTGAGTGCAATGAACTAAGATGCTTGTTTACAATTTCAGATTATGATCCCTCACTTTTCAGAGACCCTGATTCAATATTCTGGAGTGGAACTCAGGAATCTGCACTTTGGACAAGTACGCCAGCTGATTCTGATGCAGAAGAGGAACACTGATGCATGCATTAACGGCACGGGACAACCCACGGATGACCGCTGCTGGGCGGCAACTCAGAATATCTTACTAAGTGAATGAAGCAGTTGATTTAACAAAACGATTATCACTGATTTTTGTTACACTGACTAATCTGCTGCAATTTGTTGCTGATTTAGTTAGTAATGCCATACAGGTCTTGAAAAACCTACACAAAAAGCGGGAGTTTTTCAAGACGTTTTTGCCAAAAAGATCACTCTACAACAGAATCAGAGTTCAGAAATTTTATAGGTTATCAAAACTTTTAAAAAAATATAAGTTAAATAAAGGTCCTTAAGGGAATACTCAGAATTTTTTTTTAATTTTGGTAATAGAATTGATCTTTTCTCATATCCTTTCTCTCGCAAAGGAAGCACATGCTTTACCTTAATCTCATAGTCCTAACTCTAAACACCCTTACACACATATGGTTTTTTTAAACATTATACACCTGCATTCAAATAAAAAGTGATCAAAAGTAACACATGCCATAACAACGTCTTTGTCAGAGTCACTCTTGCATGGGGGTATGGACTAGCGAATCCACCTAGCAGATGAGGTATTTAATTCACAGGAATTGCTTTGATAGGATCGACAAAATTATCATTATGGGCAGCTGACTAGACATGAAAATAGAAATCTAATCCTCTACATGAAATCAGGTATTATTATCAAGGTGGCCACTGAACCAATATATACATACGTGCACACGCATGTGTGTATATACATGTGTATACACACATACACACATACATATGTATGATTTAAGGATTATTAACGCAAGATACTTACTACTATTGATAATGTAGCTTGGAATCATTTTACCTTTTAATATTGCTGCTGAAATTCCAATGGCAGCACAGAAGAGGGGGGAGAAAGCAAAGGCATTAAAGTTATACGGAATAATAATCTGCCTGTGTCCGACGTGCCTAAACGCACATACGCAGGGAAGAAGGTCTGAGCTGAATAAAAGGGCTCCGAAAAGGCACACAGGAGGATTTAAGAAGACCAGAAATCCTTTCTATTTTGTTCTGTTTCTGTTTATACATCCCTTCAGCCATCTATCCTACTCACTCCACAGTGCTTAAATAGTTGACATCTGAATGAATCGCAAAGAAGAAAAAAGCAAAACAAGAAGACAAGATGAAACACTGACTTGGCTAGTGCTAGATTATCTCTAAACCTTTCTTTTTTTTTAAATTGTTCCACTTGGAAGTTATACTGAATTGAATCAGTTTCCTACACATCTGCCAAACATCCCAGGGGATCCAACAGCCCTGTACAAAGTACATGGCTTTATCCAGGGCTGGGAGGGGTAGAGCCCTCTCTGCAGTGTCTCCAGCGAGTGAGAAAGACGGCGTCACACAGGATCACAGCCTATGTCTGACGGTCCACCTTTCCTCGAATTTCTCCTCTATCCCTGGTGTGAAGCTATAAAAGGGTATATAGCAAGACCTTGTGTTCACACAGTAATTTGGGTTTCAGGGAGCTTTCAAATTACTAACAAGCATGTTGGCCCAGAGAGGGCTAGACATTCTCATGAATTAAGGCATGCTATCTTGTTTTTCAGGCACCAGGCGTGTGTAACTCTTGTAACTTACAAACATCTACGTGATAAACATAGGTTTCGGTGGAGAGAAGCTGCTAGGCTTCTACTGCCTGCACTGAGACAGTGGTCATCTGATTACAGGTGGCGTGGTGAGACCCAGCCCTTGTTACATACAACAGCATTCTATACAACCTCTTTTTATTCCTCATAAAAGAAATGGAAGATGCAGGATAAGTGAAATTGAATGGTGAACGTCTGTGGATGTTAAAAATGACTCTCAGTGTAATCTCGTGTATTTTTATCACTGGCCAGAATCACAGCAAAAATATAAATTACATACAAAAATATAATTCTCAAAACATTCCAACTCGGCAAACAAAGCTAAGTAAATGTTTCACTACTTTTATTTCCAAAAGAAAAATGTATTTTGAAACCACCTTCTAAAAATTTTTACTTCTTTTACCAGTGAACCATAAATAATTTTTTGGTAACTCATTTTCATTATCAAATTAGTAAACTTAATGTTAAGCTGAAAACAAGTGCTTTTTTTGTTTGTTTTGTAACCCTTACCTCGATCTTTTGCTTTGTCAGAAAGGAGCACCTCGACCTCCTCGTATTCCCGGATAGCGTCCAGTATGATGCTCCCTTCTTTACTGAAGAGGAACAGCATGGGGATCTGGATGTCATCCGTGTCCTTCCCGTCACCGGCCATCTGGAACAGAGGCGCCGTGTCGCTGCTGCTCCCCTCATTGTCATCTGGCCAGAAGTGAACACGGCAAACAGAAAGACATTCCTCCATTAAAAAGGTCTACCTACCAACCTTTACTGTTTTTCACCTGCTGACGGCATTGGTTTTATGCATCAAGAACTATAAAAACAATCACTCTTAATTAGTGAATTGTACTCCCAGAAATTTATCCTGAGGAAATAATTCAAAAGAAGCAAAATGATCTACGCCTGAAAAATTTACTTGGAGTGCTTTTTGTAACTGTGAACAACTGTGAGCTATTGTAAGTAAATTTACAGTGAACTACTCGATGGAACACAGAGAAAAACAAAATGTTATTATTACATAAAAAGGCGGAACACAAAAATTCTATGATTATGACTATAAAAATTTCATATGCTTATGAAAAAGCCTAAAAATGGAAAAATTCTAAGACTTGAATTAAAATGACAGAACTACAAAATTTCATTGTTGTCTAAGATTTCCTCTGGCATTATATTGCTTCACCAAACTACACACTGACAGTCCCTTTTAATATAGTGTTTGCAAAGAAAAATTATGACTATTGTGGTTTTTCCTCTGTAAGTTAAATGAAATCTACTGTTAGTTGACACTGGCTAAGTAACAGTAGTGGGGCTGCTAAATACAGTTTTACTGGCGACACCGGTCACGGCCAGCCCTAATCTCACAAGCCGGCCTCCCTGGAGAACCTGCCTGTCCCTGCTCAGACAGCGTGTGCGGACAGGACCTGCTAATTCTCTCTACATGGAGAACACCATGAAGAACCCAACCCCTTAGCAATTACTGATTAGACAAAGGATGGCTCTCTGACCCTCAGTTTCTCTGGACAACGTGGAAGCGGCACACAGAAAGACTGCTTTGGTTAGCAGTGGGCAGAGGTCCAGTTAAGTGACATAGACTCATGGCTTAGGTGGCAATTTTGGAATGGTCATTTTGGAACTGATAAGCAAAGAGGGAGCAGGCTGGTGAGAAGCTGCAGAATGAAAAAGAACTGCAAAGAGCTGCAGAGAGGAGAGTCCAGGAGGATGCAGAGAGAAAGACAGGGAGATGAGGAAAGGCCAGCAGCTGCCATGGTTCCTGAGGACTTTTAGTTCCCATTTCCACTTCCTTAGAGCACTCGTTGTATTTCTTACTCTTGGGTTCAATGAAAATAATCCGTTTCCATCTAGTAAACAAAAATCCCTTCTTAAACCAGCTTACACAGATTGTTTCGTGCAGCCATACCATTTCCAGGATGATTTGCAGTTTTAGCACTTGTAATAAACAACCAACCAGGTCCTAATGTGCTCATTTATACACAATTAAAACCAGTAAAAACCAAGCAAAATGCTTCATCAGAAACAAAAAGACTTCGGGGAGAGAAGGTACAACACAAGAAAGTTTCCCTCTGCAAATTAAATTTTCTGAAAATAAGGATCATTGCCACTTATTTACCCACAGAACTCAGCATAGGGTCCCGTAACTAACAGCGACTAATGAGAACATTTGACTTGACAAACCGTGTAGCGTACAGGTCACCATGAGAATCAAACTTCACCAAAAAATAGGGGAAATCTAAAACAGTCCGCATATGTTCCAGACTTTATTTTTAATATTTTTAAAGTCTTAGTAAGAGATGTTCACAATGAGAGTGATGGCAAGCTATTAAATTCTTCAATAAAAACAATCTCAGTATGAAAAATAACCAAGGATAAAGAGATGATCTAAATGAGGCCTCAGCAAACTTGCGCTGTAACTGGCCACACAGTGAATATTTTATTTTAGCCTTTGTCGTTCGCTGCTGCAACCACTCAACTTCGCCACGATAGCCTTAAAAGCAGTCATAAATGATGTCTAAACAAACTGACATGTGTGTTCTAATAAAACTGTTACGTACAAAAACAGGCAGTGAGCTGAACTTGGCCTGCAGGCTGTAGTTTGCTAACTGCTGATTTAAGTCATTAAGCAGAATTTCTCCTTCCTTAACTAAGGAAATCTACGCATTCATTAAATTCAACACTGGAGTGCCCATATGGGCTAAGCAAAAGGAATAGTAAGTAATTCTTCACTGAAAGAAATCCTACTATTTTATTTTAAATCTCTTCATTTTATTTACCTTAAATTCAAAAAGGGGATCTACCCTACTTAGAAACAAATTCAAAATGGATTTCTCCTGTGAGGCAAACTGGGCAGAAGAACTAACGCTACAAACAGTCTTCCAGTTTTTTCTGAATGTAAACTCCTATTTACTCAAAGCATAGAAAAATTTGTATTTTCCCTGACAGTCATGGCCTGCTTGTCATGATAACAGTGATTTTTTTTAAATGAAAAATAAAATAGCAAACACACTGGCTGAAATACATGGGTAAAATAATTTGAAGTTTGTAATTTCAATGGGAAAAGACCCAAGGAGATAAAAATTCGCTAGGAACTAGTACCTATAGCTATGATATGTCAGCAATTTTAAGAAATGTTATATATGTTACCTTCAAAACTTAACCACTTAAAAGGCACTTACTACCATTTTCACTGGAGCTCAACAAATATTCTACTGAATAAATGGATTAAGAAACTAAAGCTGGGCCAAGCTTGTACCACGATTTTGTGGCAGAGCCAGGAACTGCACCCCCTGGGCCTGACCCCAAAGTCTGCATCTATGTCGAGGAACGGACATTTTTAGTGGCTCCCCACTGGAGGTGGCAGGGTGTAATTTTTGCCCCTACAAGGCTTTGGATCTCGTGGGTATATTTTCTCACCTATCGTACTGGGTGCTTTTTTACCACTCACCCCCATCACACCTTCACACTTGACCCCAAGTACTTTTACTGGCATTAATATACAGAAACGCAAATCTAGACTTTCCAACAAGATATGAGATATGTACCAATTAATAAGAGTTACTGGATTACTCATCCATTATTCTGTCTAGTAAAGTAAAAATAATATGACAAACTATTTGATAAAATTTTGGAAAATAAAAGGAAAAAAATCCTAAAAATTATCTCCTATTCAACACAATGACATGGAGAATGACTTACCGATAACAATGCCACCAATGGCCCCAGCATTCTGGATGTTGCGTGCCTTTTCTGCAAACATGCACTGTCCCCTTTGTATCAGGGCGATCTTCCCCATCACCGCCTCGGGGTTAGTAAGCTCTGAACAACCATTGTATGGTTTACTGCTTGCAACAAATCCTCTTGTCTGTCAGAAGTAAAGGTAATTTAAATAATCTGTTATCAAGTCACTCCTTAGTCATTAAAATTCAGTATCTAGAGCTTTAAGGAGACCACATTCTTTTCACATAATAAGACATCCAATATATATGTAGCATAAATTTGTTTCGAACATTTTTCACATCCTACTACCCAACCAATATTTCTGTTGTGCTTCACAGTTTATAAAGTTATTTTTACATAAATTACTAACCCTGATCTTGAAATGACTCTGAGCAAAATAACAGACAATATTTTCATCTTATATATGAGGAAACTAAGATCCAAGTTACATAATTTGCTCTAAGACGCAATGTTAGTAAGTGGTCAAGTTGAGGCCTGTAGGCGGATTCACTGCATACACATCCCTGTACACACAATAGCTGGGAACTATTTTTAAACTGTCACTGGTAACTAGAAAAACTACTGAAAGAGGGAAAAAAATGGATCTACTGTACGTGAATCTGCAAGCAGTTCTTCCTAGAAAAACTAAATCCACCAGAGAACTGATTCTAAAGATGTGAACATAAAGATGTCTTAAGATCCTTCTCTCTCTCAGAACGTGAGCTCCACAAGAGCACAGACCTTCGCTGGTCTTCGTGAACTTGATATATAACAAATACCTAAAACGTTCCTAGAATAAGAGTTGCTGAATGGATGCATCGGTCTATAAACTCACCCAGCTTTAAAACACACACTAGGAAGAGTTTAAATTAGGGGCGACAGAGGTCAAAGCCCACTGGCTTTGTGTCACCAGGCTACTTGGGCTCCGTCTAGTGGCCAGTTCGGTCACCAGCTGGTTATATGAAGGTGCGAACTGCCCAGCTCTGTAAGTCTTTGTTTCCTACACTAAAATTCAGAGGATGGACTAGCTTTGTGGTCTTCCGGGCTTGCTCAGTGGACCCTCAGCGCCCGACGCCCTCCACAGCCATTTGGCGGGGGCACCCTCCGCTTTAGCCCTTCTCTGCTTTAAGCCTGTGAGTTAGGTGTTTGTTCAAAGAAAGGTTCTAGTAGTTACGAAGTCTGAAAACCATTTTTAGATAAATTAACAGCACTGAATTAGAGAACAGACCAAGTCTTTGACAGTATCTGAACAACATTTTAAGTAAAATTCTATAACCATATTGCATACATAAACTACAACTCAATGTTTTCAAGATACCCGTTTAATTTTAATCTCCTTTAATTTGGGAGATGGAATATTTAGGTGTTTAAAATCAGTTAAAACTACTAAGTCAGAAAAGAGACTAAGAAATCAGACAACAGTTGGGTAACATTTCAACTCAGTTTCAATAAGCATATCGTACGCACACACACCTCTTTATGCTTAGACAGATCCAGCCCGAACTGGGCGGGCCCAGCGGTTAACACCACGCGGCCAAAAAACGGGTGCGAGACAATCTGCACTGCCCGCGGCGGCAGCTGCTGCTCTTTCTGCTGCTGACTTGACAATTCAATCATCTCCTGCATGAACCTCAGCCCGTCTTCAGCGTCAATTGAACTAGCAGCCTAGGGAAGAAAGAGACTGATTTTACCCTGCCTTTCTGGAAACTTTCAACCTTTTGATCTCTTAAGCACTACTGCACTATAATCTTCTACTCTAAAATGTCTCCTTTCCGTTTTGGTCTCTACCAAACATGCATGACCTTTTTTGTTCTCAAAAGCATTACTTCTCAAAGTAGTTCCTGAATATAACATCTGTGGCTTTTATCAATGTCCTCCATTGCTCTGTAAACCACTTTTGATACAAACAGAGAACTGGACTTCCACCAAATCACCAAATGCTCACTTTGTATTTTCTCCACTGGCTGCCCTTTTAAGAAATAAACCTCATACCTGAGCCACAGTCCCCTTCTTTGAAATTATGAACCAACAACCAGATTAAATTCAAAATGTAAGTATTGGGCACCTAGTACATCCCAGCACCTGACCAGGCATCGGGACACAGTGGAGTTTGTATCCACAGGAGGGAGCCCTGTAAAATTAGCTGTGATGAAACTCCTCAAACGGGAAGGTGGACTAGGAACACAGACAAGGGGATGACTGGTTCTGTCAGTGTGCACCGGGGAAGTCTCTGGAATGACCATCAAACTGAATTAACAGAGGAAAAGCTGAAGAGCCCCTGACTAGACCAGAAACTACAGCAGTGCCTGACACCACAGAAGAGTCAGCGGGACCTGACAGAAGTTAGAGGATGGAGGAGAACAGACAGGACCTGGGAGACAGAAATTCAAGCTGACCCCGAGCTTTCCAGCTTTGCTGACTTATCGAGAATGATGACAGGGTTGCCGGAGACGGAGAACATGGCAGAGAGGGGACAGAGGAGTGTGCAGGGAGATAGAACTAACAGACTGAGGCTGAGATGCAGAAACGTGTGACAGATAGATTAAAGCTGGGCTTAAGGGTGAAGTTCGGAATCAGGATTACGTATGTGTATCTAAGAAATCACGTGTATAAAGATTTTAGTGGAGTTGGCAGAAATAGATGAGATGGTTGAAGAAGAGGATATAAAAGAAAAAATTACGCTCCAGATTCTTGGGCGGTGCCTGCGCTGAGTGGCCGTGCCAAGAGAGAAGAGCTGCAAAGGAATCTACAAAGTAATGAACAGACAGGTGGCCTGCTGCTGCTGGAATGTTTGAAAAAGAGGCCAGTCAATAGTGACACAACAGTTCAATCACGTAAGGATTAAGGGGCCACTGGCTAGCAATTACGCCACTGGTGACCGAGGTGAAAGCAATGTCACCAGAGACGCCCCTCCCACTGCTGGGGAGTGAGGCGGGCACCCTGTAAGGAAGGGGGCAGGAGGCCAGTTAAGGAGGGATGTGTTTGTTTTTTCTGGCTTTTGTTTGGGGGGGGGTTGTAGGGGGAAAGTAATTAGGGTTTTTTAGTTGTTTATTTATTTTAATGGAGGTCCTGGGGATTGAACCCATGACCGTGTGCATGTTAAGCTACTATTTAAAGAAGGATGGATGTGGCAAGAATAGAAATGAGAGAGAAAACCGCCAGGAAGGGGAAGGCGAGGTGGCGGGAAGGCTGAATTTGAGGTTAAGGGATATCTGAATATGGTTCTAGGCTGAAATTACTTCTCAAACTATGTGGCTTCCTCAGAATTAATGTAGTAATAAGGTGGATAATTTAAAGGCTTCAGGTTATGAAAACTTTTAAAGACAAAAGTAACAAAAATTTTCCGAAGAGGACGTAATGTTTCCTAGGCAGAGACAAACTAATGCAGATTTTGGTTTCTATAATGAACAAAATGCTTAGATTCAGTAGCTCTTTGGAAACTAAAATAGTGTAAGATACAGACACATAAATACGAAAACTAATTATTATCTTTTAAGATTATGTTCTAAATAAAATAGTGGGAAGACAAGGGACTGAGAAGCAGAAAACTTCAGTTGGAGCCCTACATTTGATCATATTAACTTAAGCAAATTACCCAACCTTCGTGATTTAACTGATTTATACTACAAAGGGGCTGAATTAGATGGCTTTCCAAGATACTGCCAAGTCCTAAAATTCCGATGCTAACTTTAAACCACACACGTAAAGTTTTTTAAAAGCCAGTGTCATCATCTTATTAAAGCTAACGAGAGCAGAAAGGGCAGAGATGGCATCCAATCAGTACCGCGATGTCTTACTTGGACTGCGTGCTGAACCAACTGGACTCGCCCATCTTTGAGGTGAATCAAACTCACCCCCATCTTCTTCAAGATTTCTAAATGCTCGGGGTTAGTGGCCATGAAATCTCTGGCTCTCAGAGGGGGTTTAGCTCCACTCCTGAAACTCTCCTCTCTGCTAAAAGCAATTACAGGCAAGGCTTAAAAAACTACAAGTCAGAATTGGAGAAAAAACATAAGGCAAATAAAAATGTTAGATATTTACAAAACTGCTAGTTTTAGACTAGTGAAAATGGCATACCTGGAAACAGTTATTTACCTACATACAACTTAGGTTTTCAATAAGTGATACAACTTTCAAACACATTTTACAGTTACAAAAGCATGTGTATTACCTACAAAGCAGTATCAGTCAGCCATTAAAACTACTTGAAGGTACAGAATAGGCTGGCTTGGGGATTTGCTACCATTTATTTCTCCCTCCCTCAAAAAACAGGTGTTTCTCTCAATATTTTAAAAGCAAAACAATACTTATATCAGTGAACAATAACATTCAGCTGAATTTTTTTTTTAATTTCCAAGTAATGGCTTTCCTAATCTAAGTATTTGGAAGAAAATAAACTCATTAAGGCAAAAATTTTTATTTAACAACCAAGAATAAGTACCTTACCAAAAAATCAAAACACAGTATTTTTACTACACAGAAACTACAGATAAAAGGACAAATATTTTCTACATATACAAGACGTGGAAACATTTGATGAAACTATTCTGTGTAAAAATGTCCTAGGGAAGTTAAAAACTATCACAGGCTGCCACTATTACTTGGTGCATTAAAAAGATACACAGGAAATTTCCGTAATAGTAAAAAGACATTAGTGCAGAATAAACTTTGCTATCTTTACTAACCAATGATTTTAATTTTAATTGGTGGTAAGTACATACATACTTTGGTATTTTTTATCTAAGTGAGTGTCTTCTTGGTGTTTGATGTTCCTTATGCTGTGTCATTTACGAAGAATTAACTTTGAAAATAATAAACATGAAATTAGCCGTCTTACACTCTGATGATGCCTCTCGGACAGCTCTTGTCCACCACGTTTTTCAACGGTTCACGAATGCTCTGAGCATAGAGGGGGTCATTAGGGAAGAGGATCTGAGTGTTTGGACAAGTCCAGTCAAAATTACTGTCATCCAGTTCTGTATACTCTGAAGTCTAAAAATACAAAAGAATTTTATGTAAACTACAATAACTGTTTTACTTAACACTACAGTCTGTTCAAAGGAGACAGTAAGGGAAAGGTAACTGTAAACAGGATGCAATAAAAGAAAACAACAAAAAGACACCTGCTACCACTCTATTCTATTCACTGAATTCTAATCATGGATTACTTCTCACTTGGGAAAACAAAACTAACACATAGAAGTAAAAAAGGGAATAAGACATTTAATTCAAAAACATAACCTACTGTGTTCTTCTTAGAGATATTCTGACTTGTAGTAGAAAGCCAGAGAGGTAACAGATGAGCTTCTGTTGTAAAGATATAATCTTCTATGTCAAAAATAATGTCTTCTTTATCCGCAAATAACAGGTAAAGATATTTAAACATTTCCGCCAAGAAGAAAGAATCCATTCTAAAATAAAAGGTCACAAGGAAATCTAAGAACATAAAAATATCCAAATGCCAACTATCTGAAAGCCACAGAATTAAGCTCAATAAACTTGTCTACACCAGTACAGGTGTCCAAAGAACTACAGAATGCATCTGTCCCCCGGTGGTAATATGCCTTGACGCCAAGCATATTCCAAGGAAATGAAACAGATCAGAGGGGCTGCGTATCACACAGACAGACTAAATCTTGTCAGTACTGCAGACAAGATTTTCCTACGGGCCTTCAGAGGGACAGTTTTCCATTTCTTCCACAGAGAACCAACAGCAGGGAGGTGATACAGATGAACGTTTAACCCCTGAGAACCATTTAAGAATCTTCAATTAATACTAATTGAACTAGATAAAGTAATACAATTGTGATGCAGCTTATTATGCAGCCGTTTATGTGATACGCAAGAAGGCTTTAAAAGTAAAGGAAATCATTTACAAAAAGTTACATGAAAAAAGTACAACACAAAATCACATGGACTATCATAGCTTTGTAAACATTCAAATATACCTCAAGATGGGAATATAAAGAAATAAAGGGGATTAAAAACATGTCACCTGACAGATGATTTAATGTTATAATGTTTTAATAAACATTTAAAATAAAAGCTTTAATGAAATTAAAAGTGGCAGAGAAAGAGCACAGTTGTTACATGGAGTCAGAATAACACGGAATTTAAGTGGTCTGCCTCCCAAAGCGTCCCAGGTCTTAGCAGTTACTAGACAGGGCATGGAGTTTCACAGCTCGGCCAACCACAATTCCTGGCACACAGTAGGCACTCAATAAACGTTTACTAAAGTGAACGCAAGTTTATAAACAGCATAACTAAAGAATCAACTGCAGAGGCAATTGAACATAGCGGTAAAGGGCAAAGGCTTTGAAAATAGAAAAGACCTTCTGATGACTAGCTGTGTGACCACGGGGATATTATAAAAGGACTGTGAGCTTCAGTTTATCCTGAAAGGACACAATAAATACAGGTCTAACAGTGGTGTAAATACTAGTACACCAGAAATCGACACAACATTGTAAACTGACCATACTTCAATAAAAATACAAATAAAAACTTCTAAAAAACCCCCCCAAAACAAAGACTAAATGAGATGCTATAATGTCAACTGTTTAGCATAGCACCTGGCATGTGTATGAGCTCAAAAACAGAGCCACCATTATTTTTCCTAGGCATAAATAATGTTTTACTTTGGAACAACAACTCACAGTAACGTTTCAAAACTTCTGAACATTTTGGATGCTAATCATTTTAGAACAGATAAAACACTTCCCTGTCAATCTGTAACACACTTGGGGTAATTTAACTTCTGGAGGACTGACAGTTATCGCCATGAGCAAATGCTGGCTTGAGGACTGTAAACTGATGAGCAGGGTATTGATTTTTGGCAAAGTTCAGAGCTGATTATGAAACAGATGATTCGAAAGCACTTAGAAAAGAATAGAGATGTGGGGAGATCACTGCGGTATGAGTTGCGTAAAGCTAGGAAGCGTGGGTATTGTACCACATAATCACTTTTGTAGAGGAAAACCATACATACATGCACAAATGCACACACGCAGGCACTAAAAATGTCTGGCATCCTGTTTATAAAACTGCCAACAATGGTTACCTCAGGATGGGAACTAGGGAAAGATTTTCATAATTCTTTTTGCCATTTAAGTTATTTCCAGTGACCATTTACTATTACAAAAACACAGATATTTCTATTTTGAAAGTGTGTGTGCGCGTGCACAGCTTGAGTGTGGTTACTTCTGGATGCAACATTTTAAGAGACAGTCTATATCTTGGAATACAACCGGAACGGGGCAAAAGCAGTGCTAAGAGAGAGAGAAACAATGTCAAATGAGGAATATTCAGAAGGAGAAAAAAGAAAGAGGTTAAGTTTTGAAAAATGGAACTCTCTAAACAGTAAGTAAGTCACGTCTTCCTCTGCAATTCCTCAACCTGCTATTTTCTTTTCTACCACAGCTCGTATCAGACGGTTGTGATGATTTCTTTTCATATTTATCTTCTTCACTGACTACAAGTCACAGGAAGGCAGGGACTGATTCTAATTTATCTTTCATCCTCATGCCCAAGAGTGCAGCATCGGCACACAGTAGGTGATTAACTGCTGTTCCTTGAATGAGTAACCAGTATAGCACACAGTCAAAAGCCAGTCTGCCTTGATTAGAATTCTGACTTGACCTCACTAGCTGTGTGACCTTGGGCATTCCCTCATCTCTCTGTGCCTTGGTTTCTTCATCTATAGAATGAAGACTGTAATAGAAATTATACTGCATAGGGTGGTTGTAAGGATCAAATGAGTTAAACATAGAAAGTGCTTAATTAAGAGTGCCTGGATGTAGGAGGCAGCCAATAAATGTTACAGATAAATACACAAGCTATCTGCTTTCATTTCTCGTTGCTGTCTGCATTCCTGCTTCCAGAGACTGATCCATCTCTTACCAGCTGTGGTCAGGGAAGGACGTTCCAAGCCTGATTAACTATTATCTAAATACTCCGAGTGAAGGACTGGGGGCCAACTCTGCGAGTAGACAATGAATGTGGGTTTCACCTGTCTGTAGCTCCTCTGCCCGAATTCCCTGTTACTACTTTATTTTTTTTCTAATTTTTGCTCATCCTTCAGGATACAGGATGCTCCAGAAATCTTTCAGTGACTGTCACATCCCAATCCACATTTCACATCCCTTTAATATGTTTCATAGCACTTAAAACAATGTTTTAAAGCCTGTTTATCTGCCTGCCCCAGTGATTCAATGACAGAAAAGACATGGCTTCTTATCTTTCATCTTCAAAAACTACTGTAACTCTGGTCCTTAAGACACTTCATTAAATATCCGTGGAATGAACATTTACTAACCAAATGAACAAATAAATTTCAGTGTTCGTTTAGAGATGCGCTGCTACGTTCTGGACAGTTAAAATAACCAAATGAGTGATCTCGGAACAACGGGAATGTTCGTAAATATCATAGTAACCAAAGTGCTTTTTATACCTTGAACACGTCACGTCATTTACATCTATCCAGTAACAATGAAACAGAAACTGCCAGAGGTCCTCCCCAGCCCTCCAAATCAGCAACAAATCAATATACATGTTAACCATAACACCACTTTGGAAGAATTCTTGGCTGAACAGAAATCATAATTCAGATTATTTATTATCATCTTGGCAATTTCTAACATTTCACACACTATAAAACACTACTAACAAAGAAGAAAACCCCAACATGTCTAACACCCCAAAGACCAAAGTACTGACATTTAACAATCATTTATTCATCTTTTAAAAAATCACGTGAGCACCTACTATATGCCAGGCACTATGGTAAAATATAAACTTTCAAAAAATTTAAAATCAGCCTCTTGAACAGAGTTTTAAAAAGCAAGCACAGTGAACTAAGGTCTGCATCTTCAAATGCCCTTTGTAAAGGCACTGAGCTTCTGTGAACTCCAGCAATCGTTCTGTGCCGTTACAGAGTTACCGTGAGGAGAGCGGAGGTGAGAATTGTTTTACCTGTCCTCATGACTTCCAGTGCGAACATCCTTCATGGCAGCAAATCCGCAAGGCACTCTAGCATATTTATTTAAATTTTCAATAAGTGTTTTCCCTACTTCAAGGTAGTAAGGATCTCCTGTAGCCTATTAAAAAGGAGAATATATGTATACATACATATAGCTTATATATTACCATATAACCATTTATCAAATATTTATTGAGTACCTACTAGGTGCCAGGCAGTGTATCAGGCACTGAACACTTGGTATATAGAACCAAGTTCTGAAAAGAAGCCATGGATTGGCTTTATGAATTTCTTAAAACACACAACTGGAAAGCTGTCCAACTGTGTATCTTAGGCTTTAGAAGTAATTTCTAATGCCCAGAGAGGCTGCCTGATTTCAAGGAGGCAAGAGACACGCTTCACAAAGCAGCTCCAGGATATAAAATTTCTCTTTAAGAAATGTTTAATAAATATTTTGAAAAGGCATAAAACTTAAGATGTCAATTCTTGCATCTTTCCGTAACTCTATGAACTAGATGAATAAGAACATGATATATAGCCAATCATTATAACATTAAACAAGAACTCTGAAAACCCAATGACTGTAAGATAGTCAGATATCCAACAGAGAAGGGGACTTAACAGTAAAAAGACAGGTAAATTCGCTTACTTTATACAAGAAGTAGGTACTTTCTGCAAATTCTGGCCTTAAAGGATGTTGGGCCCAGTGCACCCTGAAATCTGTGGTAAATGCCTAGACAGAACAACACACAAATAGGCATAAAAGTGTGATTTAAAAAAATAAACAAGCAGTTCTAGAATATCCAGCAGTACATAAATTAGATCATAAACAAGTACAAATAGGAAATACAGTGATAATTTTCACCTATATGATGAAAAATTTCATTGCTTAAAGTCACAATTCATTTTTGTGAAGGCCAATATTTTTACCAATTAAGTGGAATTTTAAAAAAATGATCACTTTGGCTATCAGGAAACTTAGGAAAAACTGTGACTTCAGTAACGCCACTACATGGGTCCTGGTGGTCCACATAATTGCTTTCTTCTTTTTCCTTATCTTCATGTTTCCCTCTTAATTATTAAGTCCCTCATTCTCATATTTCTATTTTAGCACATGCTCTCTTTTATAAGAGTCTCAAATCCTCTGTGGAGTGAGAAACGGTATGACTTAAAAATAAAACTTAGTCTCAAATGTATTCAGTAACAGGTTCAACTGGTTAAAAAAACTAAAAAAGCTTTATGGGAATCAAATAGAACTTCTTTTGTATTTAGCTGAAACCTCAGTCTATACTAAGTGAATATGAGTTTAGTCCTACTGTATAGTCCTACTCATCTGACGGCTAACAAACTACTTTCTGAAACAAACACTTTAGGAAGCTTCTAAATTGGTGAGGTATTCAGGTATCTCACAGACGGTACTCAATAAGCAAGGGCAGAACAAGGCCATGCACATATTTGAAAATTTTAATGGTACATTTCTGGAAGCCAAAAATATGCTATTAAAATCTTATCACATCAAACTAGCAAAAGTATTTTATTACTGACATAATGTCTAGAAACCAGGCATGAAGAAGAGCTAACATTTTTTTCCAAATTTCCAGGCAGCATGTGTGATCAGCAAAAGTACATTCAATGTGTATTGTTCTCATAAACTAAACTTCAGGAAGCAAGAAGTAAAGCAGTCTCCCTAGCTGGGGGTGTGTGTAAAAGTCAGACTGAGACAGTACGTAACAGCACAGGTTAGAAAAGGCTGAGAAATACAAATCTGGAATTTTTTTAAATCTAAAATTAATAAACTCTCAGCATTATCTCAGACTTCTCTTAATACATGAGGGAAAGGGAAACATACGTGATACTGTGTAAACCAGAACTCCATTAATTAAATAAAACTATTCAACCAGGAAAAATGACAAAGAACAAGCCAACCATGAAGATGGCATTTCCTAACCTTTAAATTAGCAATCTACAGTATATGTAAATTAGAATTCCAAAGATTATCTGCTTACCTCTGGTAGAAAATTGTGTTTTTTAATCACCTGATATAGCATTTCATGAGTTTCAATAGCAGGTCTAATATCCCCCTTTAAGACCTAGAAACCAACGATAACAACAAAATTGCCTAGTAAAATGTGAGGTGACTTTATCATCGATACATAAACAGAATGTCAAAATTGTAGAACAGATAAACAAGACGATACTGTGTAGCACAGGGAAATATACACAAGATCTTACGGGAGCTCACAGAGAAAGGAATGTGACAATGAATACATGTATGTTCATGTATAACTGAAAAATTGTGCTCTACACTGGAATTTGACACATTGTAAAATGACTATAAATCAATAAAAAAATTAAAAAAAACAAATGAATGCTGAGAACACTAAAAAATATATATATAAACAGAAAAATGTAGATTACTATAATTTTGAAATGTAACTCCGGTAATTCAATTATAGAGATCACAAATGCATTTAATTATAATCATTTCACTTTAATATTAAGAGAATAAGGGATTTTTTTGTGGTTGTTTTTTTACCTGCAAACCTGGGAAAAAGGCAAGCAGAGCATCCATCCAAGTCCGTGCATTGAGCATCGGCTTGTGGATGTGCACGTCGAGGAGCAGCGGCGGCTGGCTGATGTACCTCATTATGGCGTCGTAGTGCTGAAGGGGATCACAGGAGGTGTTCATGAAGGGGATGAAAGAAGATGAACTACTCTAAACACATCATATCATTAAATAGCACTGTGAAGAAATTAAACCTGCATTTACATAGGAATAAATTTACTAATTGTTCATTACCTACGTAAACAGTTACATTACTTCAGATGGAAATCTTTCTGAGTATTTTATATATACTCCTCTGTGTTCTTAAACTCCGATGCAGAATACAGAAGAGTATAGATAAAATGGGACCTTCTGAACGGTGCAGATCTGAACCTGGCTATCCTGTGGGACCTGCCCATGGTTACTATGCCCTTGGGGCCCAAGGATGCGCTTAGCATCCTCTTGAAGCAACAGCTACAAGTTTCTATACCACAAAATTCGTTCCCTTCTCCTCCGTTGTCTAGGAAGTTTGATCCCTTCCCAGCTGACTGAGTGGTGCTCACCACCACCTGACCTAACGCACCTGATCGCTGTCACCACTCCTCTGGCCCCCCTACCTCCACCTTCTCTGGTCTTAAAATCTCCTCTCCCCTTCTTTCATCTTCTTCTAGGTATTTCTCAGCCTTGACAACAGGCTGAGCTGTTAGAGTCAATGAAGGATAACAAACCAACAACAAAAACTCTCTCCTCATTCACCTCAAGATAATCTTGTTAGAATCTAATAAATGACACATGTAAGTGTTTTTAAAAGTATTCAACTGATGACTTATTAGGACTTTTTAAACTAGTTTTTTCCCCTCATTCATCTATTGTTTAATACCTACTACTGAGCACCTGCTTGATCTTAAAGCGCTGTTCTAATCACTTCATGTGCACAAGCTCACTTAGTCCTCCCCCAAAACAGGGTTAGGGTTTCCACTTTGTGGATAAGAAACAGGAAAACAGCCCAAGTTACTTGCTCAAAGTCCACAAAACCAGTGGCACAGCCAGGGTTTAAATCCAAGCAGGACAGCTCTTATATTTTTAACCACCTTATCACACTGTCTCTCAGTAATGTGAGTGAACTCATGGGTGGGCAACGAAATGGTAAATTATTTCAGAAACACAGTGACACAGCTGATGGGTTTACTGTAACTAGTTTCAGTTTGCTTCAATTACAGACAAAGGCAATCCAATCGGGTTCAATAATCTTCCACTTCTCCCCTAAAAATATGCCTGTGAGTCTGATCCAGACTTCAGACTTACTGCTTTTGAAACGAATACTCACCGGTTTCTCCAAGTCCTCAAAACCCTGTCCTTGGTGTAACCAAGGACAGGCCAACTGCCAAATTATTCCCAAAAGAAATGGAATCCAAAAGAGAAAGCTAACTCGTAACTTTTTCCAATTTCAATTCTCTTCCTTGTATAAAAGATTAGGTAAAATTCAATTCTACATATTTTATTACTTACTGGAAACTTCTGATAACAGATGAAAATAAAACTACTTTGTACACTAATTTTTGTAATGTATGTAGCTTTTTATCCTGTCCCTATCCATCAGGGAATACTGACAAAAAAAAAAAACTACTATACATTTAAAAATAAATTATTATTCAGAATATCACTCAGATAATTGAGTTTCTATCAAAATCTGACAAATTAAATTAGCTCTAAAATTAATATAAAATTGGACCAACTTACTGTATTAAATCTTTCAAGAAAGCTGTCATCTCCAAGCAAGACATAGGCTTTCAATAGATATTCATAATATGAATCAATCCCTGCTCCCACTCCACTGTCTACGGAAAATACACATAAATGTGATTCTTTATTAAACAAATCTTAAAAATTCTTTATAGAGTACAAGGATACTAGTACACTAAGAATGAAAAATTAGTCTAAACATGAAACTGTTGAAAGTAAAAATTACACATTTACAGAAAGATTAACCATTACTATATGAATTATAGTTCCTTTGCTGACAGTAGCTTGTATGTTAAAAAATAGTCTTGCTCTGCAAACTTGGCTATAGAAATCTTATTTACATAAAAGCAGGAGATACCATGAAAGCTCATTTTCTTAGTAAGGAACTTCAAAGTGGAAGCATTAGCAGGTTATCATTTACTAGATCCTCAGTCAGCTAGACATCAATCTGTAAAGTTATAATAAATGTGGAAACAACACTTCTAACTGCTGAAGCTACCACAATTGCTGGCTTCTTCCTCCAAGATGATCAGAGGACCAAAAAATAAAACAAGAAGGGAACTATAAGAATTTGGTGGAGGACATTGAGGAGGGGACAGAGGAGGGAGAGCTTTGTTCTGGAGCAGAAGGCAGCCACGCACAGTTATGAAAGGATCAGACAGAAAAACCAGAAAAACAGCAGGAGCTTCGCTCTTGCTTGTCTCCTCCCACAGCGGCTAACACTCAGATCTATGCTCCAGGTAGCCTCCGGAGTAACATCAGGGCAGCACATTAGATCTGTGTAAGGAACTAAACTCAAAAAGAGGTCGAAATTAACTTTAGATATTCTCTTCCCCACTCCTCCTTTCCAAACTCTTAAGGCTGGTGAATTATAATCTAAATTACAATCTTAGAAATCCCTATATGCAGGGCACACCCCAGGCCAATCAGATCAGAATCTCTAAAAGTCCAGGCATTGGTATTTCTAAAAACTTCTGACCATGCACCCCCAAGATAACTGGGGCTGACAGGGATTGGAATCTGACCTCTCCACAAAGTAGGTGACAAGTGAACATGAGTTATAGGACAAAAAAATTTAAGATGCATGACTTTATAAAAAGAAGAAGAAAGTACTTGAGTAAGAATTTATCAGAGGAAGAAAATGTCAGAAGAGGCAAACAAAGACTTAAAAGCAGTCTAATAAACAGACTGAAGAGATGGGGAAGATATTAGCAAAACAACATGAGAAGCAAGGAAATTTTTAATTGAGAAGAAATTATGGAATAAAAATGTAACAAAATTACATAATAGATAAGATACACAGCATCTAGGATAGAGCTGAGGAACAAATTAGCAAACTAGAAGACTGCATGTAATAACAGGAATTGCAAAAAGAGATATATAAAAATGAAAGGGATAAATATCTTTAAAAAAGATCAACTTTCAGCAATTAAAAACGAAGATTTTAAATTGAAAGGGCCTAGAGAATACCAAAAGGAGAGAGAAAGAAAATTCTAAAATTATCATCATATTTTCAGAAATTTCTCACATAATGCCATTTGCAGCAACATGGATGTCACTGGAGAATGTCATTCTAAGTGAAGTAAGCCAGAAAGAGAAAGAAAAATACCATATGAGATCGCCCATATGTGGAATCTAAAAACAAACAAACAAAAAATAAAAATAAAAAGAAGGAAAGAAAAGAGAAAGAGAAATGAATATAAATACAAAATAGAAACTTACAGACACAGAATACAAACTTGTGGTTGCCAGAGGGGAGGGGGGTGGGAAGGGACAGACTGGGAGTTTGAAATTTGTAGATACTGACAGGTATATACAGAATAGATAAACAAGATTATACTGTACAGCACAGGGAAAATATATTCAAGATCTTACATATAGCTCATGGTGAAAAATATGTGACAATGAATATATGCTCATGTCTAGCTGAAAAACTGTGCTCTACACTGGAAATTGACACAACATTGTAAACGGACTATAACTCAATAAAATAAAATAAAATAAAATAAAATAAAATAAAATAAAATAAAATAAAATAAAAAAGAAATTTCTCTTTGTCTTTGATAGTCTTAATTTTCCAGAGAAAGAGTAGATCACAAACAAGGGCATAAGAATCAGAGTAACAGATTTTTTAACAGGATATAAGGAGAAAACAGAGTTGTATTGTCAAAAGACCTGAAAGAAAATAACTTGGAACAGAAAATTATATACAGCCAAACTATCACTGAAATGTGAAAGCACAATAAAATTATCATTAGGCATATAAGGCCTCGGAAGCTATTAGAAGCTACTGAAAACAGTTTGGGATTAAATACCTATATAAGAAGAGAGGCAAATCTAAGAGATGTTGCAAGAAATATACAAAATACAGGTGACTAAATACCTTGATAAAGTTTGTTGTCTTTAACGAAAGAGGTAGAGGGGTGGCGCTAAGACCCAAAAGAAAAAAGAAAACATATTCATAATCAAAAAGAATTAATATCAATATGGTATCAACATAACAGGGGATGAGGGTTGGGGCAGAGGGAAATAAAAGGCTGGGAGAGCAAATGAAAGTTCACATCTTACTAGGAGGTAAACACAGGTTTCAATCAAAAACAAAAGGTTTAAAAGGAAACACAGAAAAGGTGAGACACACTGAAATAATAATTAAGATAGTATAAATAAATCCAAAAAAGTCTAAATATATTAAAAATATCAATAAATGTAAATGGACTAAATTCACCAATTAAAAGATAAAGACTAACAAAATGGATTTTTAAAATCTATAAATTTTTACAAGTGTTACACTTGTAACATGAGCACCTAGAAAGATTGAAAGTAAAAAGGCAGAAAAAGGCTTATTAAGCAAATATGAAGCAAAATAAAGCTGATGTAGCCATACTACTATCAGATTAAACAGACAGATTAACACAGTATTATTAGAGATAACTATATAATGATGAAAGGTTCAACTAAGAAGAGAATTTTAAATCAATCTACCCAACAAAATATATGAAGCAAAAACAACTATAGGGAGATACTAATAGGTCCACCACTGTCAGAAATTTCATCTGTCTTCCTTAATTCCTGATACATCAAGCGAACAGAAAATCAGCAATGACCTACACAACATTATTAACTGAGCAAATTGGCATGTATAGAATTCTATATCCAACAACTAGAAAATGAACATGTTTTTCTTAAGCACACATGAAATGTATACAAAAGTGAACCATGTTCTAGGCCAAAAAGAAAACCTCAATAAAATTCAAAGGATAGGTATCACATAGATCATAAGTATCATATAATTTTTTTAAAAAGCACAAGTAATCCAATAGAAAATAGACAAAATATAAGACTATCCATATATTAAAAAAGGAAACATATAGCAATAAATATGAAGAACTGTTCAACATCATTAATGATCAAAGAAATACAAATCAAACCACTATGGGAAATCATCTGTAAAGCCATCTGATTGGCAAAATCTTGAGTCTGACAACACAAAATGTTGAAGAGGATGCTGATCCACAGGATCTGTTCTATGTTGCTGGTGAATATATAAAGTGGTGAAACAACGTGAGAAAACAATTTGACCAATCTCTTGGAGTTCAGATTTAATCCACCCTACCATCTAAAAATTCCACTCCTAGATACACAGCCAAGAGAAACCCTTATACATGTACAACAGAAGGAAAACAAAAATATTCACAGCACTACGGTTCATGAAACTAAAATCCTAGAAACAACCTAAATGCTCATAAATCATGGTTTATTTATCCAGCAAAATACTATGCAGCAATCGAAAAAGAATGCACTACATCTTCATGCAGCAATGTGTAAGAATTTTGGCAATATAATTTTAAGCAAAAAGTCTCAAAAAGTCTCATATGACATGATACCCTTTTATAAGTTTAAAACCAAACAAAAAACATACTTTGAAGGAATACATATGGATGCAGCAAAACTTCATTAAAAGGAAAGCAAGGGAACGATCAACACAAGAAAAGAGTGAGGTTATTTCAGTTAGAGGGGGCAGAGGTGTGGGACTGCAGAGATCAGGAGAGTCAAGGACCAGATGCAGTAATTACGTTGTCAGGTTAGCGGCTTTTACAACGGCTGGCACATTGTGTGTGCTTATTATATCATTAAAAATGACTAGATTAAAATGGACCATGCATGAGCCAATGATGAGAGTGTCATAAACAAAGGATTATAATTGATTCAAAATTAATTATGATTAATTAATTTGCATCTGAGTTCCAAAGCAGGTTAAAAAAGAATTAAGAAAAGAAATTGCAGAATTCTGAAGCCAGGATTCAGAAGGAATTCAGGAAGAAATCATTTAGATAAAACTTTGAAAAATTTGAGACAATGGTGAATAGAGGCAATAATTTTATTTTAAAATGTTCAAATTAATATTTGTATCATTTTCATTTATTTAAATATAAGCAGTTATTTTTTATTTTATATATAATATAAGCCTTTAGGAAAACAGAGAAATGTATAAAGATAATCTCATTAGGAATATTCTAGTATATTTTCATTTGTCTATGCTTGTTTTTTACGGGAGAGTGTTATAAAGAAAATCATATTTTTTATATAATCCTTCATTCTGTCTGTTCATATCACATTGTTTCATGTTTTGCCCCATGATCCAATTCAATTTAATAACACTTATGTAAAATAACTTTCAAACACTGATGCTATTCTTTTATTAATGATCACTTAGACTGTTTCCATACTGTTACAAATAATTACATGATAAACATCTTTGGGAACAAATGATCTTCTATCTTTTATAGTTTCCTCAAGCCTAGACTCCTGGAAGTGAAAGTATCAATGAAAGGACAAACATGACATTTGTGAGCATTTATTTCACAGTAAGTATACCATATGCCAGGCACTGCTCTAAGTGCTTGACATTGATTAATTCATTTAATCATGATAACTCTATAAAGTAAGAACTATTATTCCCTTTTCACAGATAAAGATACGGAGGCACACGAGGTTGAATCATTTGCCCAAGATCAGACAGCTTGAATTTCAACAATATGGTTACAGAATCTATGCTCTTAGCTACCATGCTATACACTATTTCTAGAGGTAGAAAAAAAACCAGAAGGATTGGTGAGAATATCATTAAATACTGATTTGCACTTAACTGCACCTTGATGTGAGATGGCTGAGGTATTCTGATCCTCTGATTGTCAAAGGAATTGGTTGTACTGTTTCATGTACACCCTCTACTGATAATGCTATTAAGGTATGAAATAGAACACTAAGTCATCTGGAATAAGCGTGCTATTATTTGGCACCAAAGAAGAACATGTGGCTACAATGGTTAAAATTCTAGCAATAATCTGGTGAGAAAGTATGTTTTTTACTGTCCTAGAGATTATTTTTACAAATTAAAGTCCTTTATTTCCCAACCATTTTGAGGATGTGAAGGCTTAATTTGAAAAGCCCAACGTACATACCTTTCCGCACCCAGTCGCCAGTATGAATGTTTATAGTCACGCCCACTAAATTACTACTTCGCTGCCTTTTTTCCCAGAGAAAATCAAGAGCTTTTCTTGCATATTCCTGGAGTTAAAAAAAAAAAGAAAAGCATACTTGAAGAACTGCATATCTTTGGCAAACAGGAAACAAAGAATACAAAAAATCAAAGGCCCATAGTATATATTTAAGAATTAAGGAAAATTCTGTAGATAATCATTTATAGTACACATTAAATTTCCTTAAAAGTCAAATATTGGCTTTTTCAGCTAATTGAGTGCAGTTAAAAAGAAAGACTCTAAAAATGCTAGTTAGCGGTAATGACCTCACTCTGAGATCATCCTTGTTCATCTGTCACAATCTTGTAGTACAGGTCCATATGCACACACGTATTATTAAATTATAAACTACTGGCATAATTAAATTCACTTTTTGAAATAATTTCTATCTTTTAAATGCAAAGTGAAAATCTCCCTAGATACTCTAATTGACAAAACTGGAAGAGAATTTCAAAAGTGGTATGCCATCTTTGAAATAGAATAGGCATTTCAGATCTCACTTTTTAAGTAGCATGCAACTTCGTCAGTGAAGAGTAAGTAAATCAACTAGTGTTCATTAGACAATACCAAAATTATAACCTTGCAACATTTTTCTCTTTCTTTCATTTACTTTTATCCATTGGACACCAAATTAAAATTATTTCTGATCAAATTCTTGGCTTTGGATGAAAAGATGTGACAAAATAAAAGTGAAGAACATGTACAAAAGAGTTTCTAAGTTAAAATTAATTTCAGAGTATGCATCTACTCAACAATGCAGAAGTACTTCTATAAAAAAAAAAAGAAATCATTAAACCAATTCGTCACTTTGCAGATTTAAGATTAGGGTGTAAAATAGTTTTAATTTTTTATTTAATCTATTTATGCTGAATTTTTAAAAACAAAGCAGATTACAATTTTATTTAATGGTATAATTTCAGAGCTGAAAAGTTTCATAAAAATTCCATTTTCCTACTCTGATCTTACAGCTGAAAAAACAGGCCCAGTGAAATCAAAGGTTTAATCAAAGTTTAAAATTAAACAGCAACTAGTATGAAAATTCAGATCTTTTTACATATTAGACCAAAAGTCAACAAAGTTTTTCTAACAAAGGCCAGACAGTAAATATTTTAGGCATTATGGATCACAGTCATTGTCACAATTACTCAACTCTGTCCCTGTACACAAATGGAGCTGAATATAAGCATGGTTGTGTTCCAATAAAACTTTATTTACAAAAACAGGCAGTGGCTAGACTTTGCCTGCAGACTGTAGTTTACCAGTCCTATATTAGTTTGATTCTCTTTCAACTGCATTAGGTTGCTTCTCTCACAATAAATCACTGTACATTCAACAAGTTAAACAAAAAATCATGGTTTAAAATATAAAATAGCCCCGTGGAAAGACTCTGGGCTTTGAATTGAGAAAGGCATGGATTCTAAATCCAGTTCTATTCATTTACCCACTAGTCGCGCATTTCTGAGCCTCACTTTCCTCACCTGTAAATGCGTTGGTATCTCAGAGTTTGTAGGTCAAATTAAATTAGAAAGCATGCAAAAAAAAAAAAAAGACTACCTTTTTTTTAAATGAAGGGAAAATACTAGTCAGCAAGGTAAATAAAAAACCAAACAAGATAAATCTGTCCTTAAGACACTTTGAACACGCATTCACACAAAGACCATTTAACTTGTTTTATTTACACTGAGATCAAATGTCTCTAATGCTAGTATACAGTCCCTATTTCTGCTTGTTCTATGTGCACCATTCGCTGAATTTTTAAAAATTCTTCTAAGTCATGTTTGAAAAAGAGGCTACTACTACTGCACTCCAACGACACAGTTAAATAATTAGCTAAGATAAAAAGTGACAGACACAGCAGGTCTACAAAAAACTATTCAGGGGATATTCAGTCCTTGGATAATGAATAATATTTCCCTTGCAGTAAACAAACTTACAGATAAGACTCTCAATGAAGACTTAAGTTCAAAAATTTCACTGTTTTTTAGAAGATTAGTGAAGTTAATCAAAAATGCAACAGACCATCTAGAAGTCTAACGACACAGAAATAGAGTGTTTCATATCAGATACTCGTGATACCAAACGTCATACGCAATACAGCTAAATAAGTTCTAAGAATAGATCTAAAAATTTATAGTTCATGAACAAAATGCAAAGTTGTGCTTAATATAACTTGTTTTTGACAATTAAAAACTATGTCCTGAAATTTAGACAAAGAGTTCACCAAGGTAACAGAAATCCTCCAGCTGATAATCTTAATACTTGACCAATGAATAGAAGATGTTAAAGTTAGTTATGCCCAGTACCCAGCAGATCAAAGACCATGGAAAGCTAACCTCAAATATTGTTGCTCCTGTGAATCGGCTTAAAGCAGCAAACTCAAGGATCAAGGTACCCGCACAAGCTGTGCAGGTATCTGTCTCGGTTCCCGTCCGAGCTTCTGGTTTTCTGATACCAAACTTTAAATTAATCTAAATAAAATTAAAATTAATTAATTAATAATTAAAACCAATAATTAATCTAAATAAAATCTAAACAAAATTTGCTAACAATTATCAAAAGATAGTGACTTCTGAGTAAGAAACCATTTTTCAATCAAGACTTTCGATCAAATCATGAAAACAAGTCATAAAATAAACACTGAAATTTTACCCGATGCTGTCTGTGACTTTCCAGTTAACATCTAGGGAAGTAGACTCCAAGCACATAACACTCATCGGATAAATAAGCTTTCTTTTAGCTCCTTCCTCAATGGTATCAAAATTCAATACCATTATAATGATTACACAGAGAAAATACCTTCTGTAACAATCTTTTCTCTGGACAGTTTGAACTAGTTGGTACAAGACTAGAAAACTAGACCAGTCCTAAAAGAAACCAGGTTTGAGCCTTTGTGTAAAAGCAGTACTGCATTAAATAGTCTTTCATAGAGAAAAACCTAAGTTATAGTATGTATTTATAAAAGGAGACTGATTTTATTTACCCTTGATCTTAGCCAAAAGGCTGAGAAACAATTAAAAGTTTATCTACAGGTTTAAAAAATTTTGAAATATATAATATATTGTCTTGCTGACAGGCTAACAAATAAGACAAAGAAAAATGTGTTCAGATAACCAAATCATACCACAGTATAAACCTGGATCAAGCAGAACCAAGCTGATCGGAAACTCAGCTCTAGGGTTTCCATGTGAGTTTAAAAAATGACCACTATTACAATAGAATTTCTGTTTAGTAAATACTTCTGAGTTAAAACCATTAATGCAAATAGTACCAATTGTGTATGCATCTCTAAGAGAGGCTGATCATACAAATTTTCATGAGCAAAAGAAGTATTTAGTAAGTACGTATAAGGAAGAATACGAAGACAGTTACTTTCTACCTGTAGTCCCCTTCTAAAAAATAACCTTTAAAATTTTCTCGACACTTCTGAGGATAAGAAAATAATACAGTTTTCTTTGTTTTACTATAATGCTTTTAGCAGCTTCTGCTTCAATTTCTTGCCTGCTTCTCATGTTATGGTAGAAGTGAAGAAATGCTAGATGCCTCAAAATTCAGCACCTCCATTTTTAACAAAAACTATTTACCAAAAACAATTCAATTAAATAAAAATCTAGATTGTTTAAAATAACTATGCTTTCAATTTTAATATGCGAAGAAAACAAAAGGATTAACAAACAAGTTTAAACCACAATAATCAGCAAGGATGTTTTCAAATTAGAATATGATTTCACTTTTTTTCCTCATTAAATTGGCGAAAGAGTGATAATTACAGTGTGGGGAGCAGTACGACACACACACTTCCACGCAACACTGAGGAAGTCTAAACACAGAACCTTTCTTTGGGCAAGGCAGCGCCCAAAGACTGAAAAAGCTTTCCCTCTTTTGTGACTTACTGTTTCCTCTTCTAGTAACTTATCCTAAGGAAGAAATCAGTAAAAGGATAAGGATACTCACAAAAGAGCTATTTAAATATATCACAAACTAGAAATTTAAATAAGAAATTTAACATTAGTCTGTTTCTTTAAAAAAAAAAAGGTGTTGATCCACTAAATGGATGAGTAAATGAATGGGCTGTGACCTCGGGTTTGAAAAGGACTCTATATCACACTAGATCTCAAGTCAAGAGATTTCTTGATGGAGGAAATGAGCCCTATTTATATTGGTAGAGAAATTATTCCCACAGGTCTAAAAGGCATGGAAATGGAAAAACAAAAACCCCTAGGTATTTTGGGTGACAAGAACAGACAGATTATTTTGGCTGAAATGGAACATTTGTTTCATCAGGGCATAGGGTGTCAAAGAAGGTCAGAAAGAAAGTACTGCCAAACCATAAAGAATTCTGAAAGTGAAAGGACACTCAGCACATTAGGAAAAGTCAATAAAACCTCTGAGGGTAGAGTAATTTGATAAAAATCATGTTTTAGTAAGATTGATTAAGTCTCTGAAACATAAACCAGAGAGAAAAGAGTAAAACAGGTATTTATAATGGTTTAGAAATAAAATTATATTAGTTTCAACAAGCAGAGCAGCAGTAAGAAAAGAAAAAATTAACAGAGCTGGGTAGCGGCTGTGGTTATCTAGTCTGGATGAGAGGGAGAGTAACAGTGTTAATCAAGAGTGAAATAAACCAGGAGAGAGTTCTTTCCATCTTTAATGGCTTCTTTCCCTCTGCTTTAAATTAAAAAAAAAATTTCTTGGAGGGGAAAAACCCCCACAAAACTCTCTCAAACTGACTCTGCTGCCAACTCTCCTTAACCACCAACATGAAAGAAATCCTAAAAGGAGTGGTCCTGTGCCTTCACTTACTTTGAACCCTTCTTTCCTCTTTACTACATTACATCCTTCAAGACTCTGTTTGCCCCTCATTCTCCTCATGTTTGCTAGAACACCTCCTTTTGAAACTCTCTTTTTAGGAGTTTATAACACCATGCACCACTACGGGGTTCTCCTCTTCAGTCTCCAAACAAGCTCCTTTTCACGGCCCTTCCTCCTTACCCCTCTGCCCTGCGCTCTCTCTACTCTCCTCTCCCAGTGGTTAACACCTACTCTTACTGCTTCCACCGTATCCTCTGCAGAAATAACTGTATGTCCAGATACTAGGCCGGCACATCTCTTTCCTCCTGCAGCATAGTCTGTTCTGTTAAGTAGTGACACAAAAAAGGCTTTAACTAATCCAAAGTCTCATACCATTCAAATGCAAATTAATGGAACTGTCACTATAAATCTGTTCTACAGCTTGAAGCATTTTTTCCCAGCCTCAAGCAGGTAAGGAACAAAACAATGGCTTGATCACAAAAGTTCATTTTTTATAACAGCAAAAGAAGTATATACAAGACTGCCACATTTTTCAGAACTACTTACTCTTGGATAAGGAAGGCCACTGGTAGTATTGAAAGCTGGTAGAAGTTTGTAGCCCAGTTGCTTTGCCATTTGGAGAAGTTCATCATTGTACCACTGCATGTACTCGCCTTTTTCTTTCAGCATGATTGCCAGTGAGTGTCCACCCAAAAGACCCCTGCAGTCACAGAGATGAAGCATCAACCACGCCGCCCAGGTACTGAAACGGCACCACCTAAAGAGATGTGGGCATCCTGTTGCCACAATTTAGACTACATAAGGAAAGACCGCAGAAGGACCTAATTTTTTACCTAACTCTTGCTACTTATTTTGTGGCAAACCATTTTATGTTATATAGCTAGTATTAAAAAACATCAGATGTTTTATCTGTTGCAAAGTATTTGGCATTCTTAAATACCTTAAATTTTCTTAAAATAAAGAACATCGTAGAAATCACTTATCTTAACAAATACAGCAAATTTGATTTTAATAAATTTTAAATTTAACTGGGGGAGGGTATAGCTCAAGTGGCAGAGCACATGCTTAGCATGCACAAGGTCCTGGGTTCGATCCCCAGTACCTCCTCTAAAAATAAATAAAATGACCTTCCCCTAAAAAAATTTTTTTAAAAATTTAATGAAAAAAATGTTTTTAACTTTAACTATATCATCATGAAATCTTTATCTCTTAGTGTAACATTAAAAAAATAAAAAAAAACTCCCCACTCTCTATTAAATGTGACAGATTAATAAAATCCATGAAAAGTTGCAAAACTATTTCTTAAATTTAACTGAATAGGCTCACTCTGATAGAAGGAAATGAGTTATAATACAAAAGTAACCATTAAATATAAAAATGTAATAATGTTGAAATGTGAGTTAATACATTCTGTAATTTTTGTATTCCAAGAAAATTTCAAACTGTTTAGTTGAAAGGTAATCCTGTACATTCAGTTTCATTTGGCTTGAAGACGTGCTGGCTAAGGTTAGTAAAGCAGGTTAGCTGGTGGGGAAAAACCTATGACGCAGCTAATAGGCAAGTGTTCGCCCCTTTTTAACAACATACAACAAATACCTTTGATTCGAGTCTGCAGCTATTTCCAAAGCCTGCTGCTCTGTGCCTGATACAATGCAGGGTCAACCCACAGCCTCTGTCTCATAATATCCCAACTTTTATCTTTTAAATTTAAGAAATTTTTTGCTTTATCACAATCGAGAAATATAGACTATACCCTTAGCTTTTTGGTTATTAAAATTAGAGCTTTAGTGTCTTACATACTTACCCAAGAACTCTGATGTTTGTTTCAAAGACTGATACCACTACATCATTATCTAAATTAACATCTCTTAAAACTTTTCTCACCGCGTCTTCAAATTCTTTAGTTTTATTTAATACCTAGGGGAAGAAAAGTACTAAAATAAAGTTCTTTTCAAGTAAGACCTAGAGAAATATCCTCAGAATGATACTAAAAGCAAGTTAATACCTCAGGACTCTTAAAAAAATAATGTGCAAAAAAAAAATTTCCCTTAAGCATATTATAGAAATGTGTTACTATCTGAAACTGAAGAAACATTGCCTATTTATATTGTAGGGAATCTTTATGTTTCTTTTTTAAGACACACCGAGATGTCTTAGGACTTTAAAACAACCTGGTCAGAACTGTTACCTGGCGTGCGTAACCCCTGACCTAGAGCTACAAGCCGTGCCTGCTGCTGGGGTTTGGTTTCCAAGTCCAAACACGACAGAAACCACCCTGCTCACCAAACACCATTTTAAAAGCTGCTTAGTCTCAGAAGAAAGCACATCCTTCAGGGAATGACAACTGAGCCTAAACCATACACCGCTCGCCACCTCCACCCCGTGGAGCCCCTGGCCCTCACTGAGGAGGCAGTTCGATGCTGCGGTCAAATGCAAGCCCCGATGTGCGTTACAGTTCCTTTCTTCCAGCGCTGAGTCTGTGCTATCACCTACCGAAAAGGGAAATACCCACTCTCCCAGGCCTGCTTTCCTAAGCGAGGAGACACATGTGAGGCACGTCAGGCAGTTGTAGTGTCTGACTTATTGGCAAGTGCCTGACTTCACTACTAGTATTACCATTGCTACCACGAGGGCCTGGAGTCCTAAGAAGCTTCACTACGCAGCTTGCTCTGGGTTTTCAGTCTAAAGTAAGGCTGCACACGTAGACGTTATTTACAGCCAAGAGCCACTGAAAGCGGTTTTTCTTTACCTGACTGTTCACTCTTTTTGTTTGACGACATTCTGCAGTGCTTTCTCACTTGATTTGATGCTGTCACTAAAAATTTGAATTTACATATAAAAACACTGCATACGAGTGTCTGACTAAAATTCAAGTAGATGTAAAATTTAGTGTAAGCCCTGAGTAAAATGTAATACAAAACCTGATTCTAAATTGAGTACTTTCCCTTCTCAATCTCGAAGTCCACGTAAATCCTGAGGCTACAAATGCAGATTCCCAGAGCCCGCTATCACCTCCAGGAGACACAACTGTTCTGCTCACTCCTCACACACACACACACGCACACGTCTTAGTATCATTTTACTATTCTCATCCTTCCTAGGTCTATCTCCTGAGAACTGCTCCCAAGAATAGTACTAACACTATTTGTTTCAAAGGAGAATAAAAATGGGAAGAGAGGTCT